ATTAAAAGGGGAGTTAGAATGTTTAATAACATTCTCATCCAACATATCTTGCACCATATCCTGAACTACAGCACGCTGGCTATGAGGTAGTCTGTAAGCTGGTACATAGATAGGATTTGTTCCCTCCATTAATGCTATATGATGGGATGTTAAGTCTGTCTGTTCCTAGCTTTTCCCCTGGCAAGGCTACAATATTTCCGTAGTCAGCAAGCCGCTCTAAAAGGCGTGTCTTGCCCTGAGGATGATCGATCACCTTAACATGTGGCGCTATTTGATCTATCCTCTCTTGCCTAGTCTGTTGGGATTGCGTAACAATACTACCATTGGGAATTTTGTAGGCTGTACTTCGACATTGTTGTGATATACTAGAAAATCACACAAATAACATCCTTTTCTTTAATATCCGTTGAACGCCTGTTCAATTGAGAACTAGTACTTCTGTCAAACCACCAGGGCGTATCGTGCTTAACGTCGACTCGCACGACAACCCTTTTAACTTGCACGTTTCCGGGAGACATACAACATCTGTGCCCGTGTATACGTCAGATAATTCGACAATTGCTTTGGTGACTTCCTCATTCTGGTAATGGAGAGTACTCTTCAAAACTGCAGGTACGATCTTCCAACTGTTGCTGCTATAATCACGCTGGGAAAGTGAGGGTGTGAGGTCTTGAGTTAGCTCTGACACATTTTCCGCCTTCCTCTGAGTGTGAATGGTAGACAACACTTTAGACCTAGCGGTGAGCAAAGGTGTAGAATGACGCATAGCGCTTTTAGGAAACACTTTTATACGTAATAGTATTATTACGTGGATGAACATCTATTTTATGAGTTCTAAGGGTTGGGAGACCATGTAACCCGTCAGCTGGCAAATTAAACTGCTGAACTACATAAAAGTCCGCGTAGAAGGGAGCACCACGTCTTGAGAATCTGAGTGGTAACGTTACCATTCCGTTAATTCTGAACTGCGCGCCAGATACTCCTTCGAGATCGGCGTCAGTAGGTCTCCATTTTAAATCACGGTGAGGGAATTTACGTTGTAACTCCTGATAAGATGACAAGGCCAAAACATTCGCGCAAGCACCCGTATCTATATCAAGAGCCAATCTTGTACTATCCACTCTCACCGGCACTGACAAAACTTCCATTTTGCTTAGCGCCGCTACCAACGAGGCTGCTATAGAAGTGTTGTGGGGAGAAGCATGAAACAATATACCTATCCTTCTTCTTGTTGTGACGGGCGCTGGTCTTCCCCCGACTTTTTGTCTTGAGAACGATTCTGTTTACGCTTCTGCGCCACCTGGGGTACACCATAATCTAAATTCCTGACCTTCGTCACTACGGCACACTCTTGTGTTTTGTGAGTTGTTGACTTGTGGAGTGCACACCACATGCGTGACTTCTGGTTAGGCGGAGGCGTTGCCTGAACCGCCTCCGTGAATGACCTTGACGGTTGCTTGGCACCTGTGGTCACTTATAACTTAACGCCATTACCTTAGAGCTGGAAACAATCGTCAATCAAATGGACTCGTTTATTTCAATGAGTACCTCTTAAAGAACGACGTTACTTGAATGTCCGGTGTGGAGGTGCAATTGGAGCCAATGGTGTCGTATGAGGTATCAGGGGTGGTGTCATTTGCGCCATCTGGGGTGGTGCCGTAGTCAAGGAGGGTCGCGCCATCAAAGGTCCCGTAGGCGTGGGACTCAGTTTGTTTTCGTAGTCTACCATATCAATAGGTGGTACAAACTAAACTTCCTGTGGCCGGCCGTATATAGGACGACGAACTACTAATAGGAAACTAATTAATTCGATCAGCGTTTCCACATTTGTCACTGACATTCTATTATCCTGTTCGTACCAATTCGAATTTCTGAAGGTCGCTTCCATATCCTGTCGCACCTTCCCAGCAATATCAACTCCCTTCACAGGTATTCCTGCATGAACCACTGGAGTACAACGATCCAGACACCTGAAAATCCACTGCAATTGGCCCAACTGGGACCCGCCCCAAAAAATTCCAATGAAGGTGCTCTTAAATTTCTCATAGCTAGGGTCCGATAAGCCATACGCATTTAAGTGATTTCCAGCAAATGATCGCTGCGTAATGTGGGAACGCACAAATGACTTTTTATCCTCATCACTGGTAATTTTAGCAGTGTGCATAGTGTCTTCACATGCACGAATGAAATGTGCTACTCGTTAGTCATCCTGACCCGTAAAATTACGTACGTGGTCACCAAGCGGCATCATATGAAATACATTATCAGGGTTAGTTGACGTGGTAGCATTATTGGGTAGAGTGTTAGGGTAAGCCATTTTAGCGTTAGAAGTTAGCAAGCCAGTACTTTTACTCCTAACTGAAGTGTCAGTTAATGGGGGCGGTAATGATAAACCAATTGACACACTGTCACCCGGAACAGGGTTAGAAACTACCTGTGTAAGTCTAGGTGAAAAACTATATTGATTCCCCGGCTGTAAAGTATGTCGGTTTAAGTCGTCAAACGATTCCTCAATTAACTGGTCACTACTTTCTACAGAAACGTCTAACTGTGCTTCCGGCTTAAGTCCTAACTCAACCTCTGCAGAAGATACGGAACTTGTATCCTCTAATTGCAATTCATCAGCAACTACTTGTGCTAGGTGAGAAATGTATTCCGATTTATACATTGGAAACTTTGAAAATTTATCCAATAAGTTTCAGTTTAGCCAGATAATAATTAATGGTAAAAGCAAAATACTTGCCTCTCATTTACAGGAAATGATAAAAATTATAGTTAAAATAAATAAAATGTCAATAATTGAACAGATAAGAAATAACTGCTGCAAATTATATTATGTCAGTACACACGAATACACGAAAGACACATATTTCAATGACATACCCTATCCGATGGCCTATCGATGTGGAGTTATGTCTTGAATGTGTTAATGTGTGTATAAACTATATATACGTTTGAAATACCTAATACAGGAGTTATAGCGTCTGTATAGAAAACGCTATCCGTCCAGCTGATATCTGTGGTGGGGTGGAGTAGGGTGGAGTCCCCAAGGTCTCTGCGCTTGTCTTTGCTATGTGTATGAGAGGTTGCCCCTAGCAACCAGGGAGAAGCTTTGCGACAGGGGAGAACCTCCACTGTAGAACAGATGCCGCTGACCGAAGACGAATTAGGTGCCTTCTGCTGCTGATACGATGTCGCCTCTGCCGTGTGCCACTTCTGTGGTCTCGTATATATGGACAACTGTCTGATGACACCGGAAATACTGCAATCAACACTCGTGAAACCACACAACCGTCCAGCTACTTGTGAAATGTCTGCTTGTTAGTAAAGTTTATGAGAATGTCTGCAACACTGTACTGTAGACCACTCATCGGAATATCGCTGACAGTATGCTTTCTTGGGGGAGCCACCCTTGTTACTAACAGGGATTTCACCAGGCTGTATCAGTTAATAACTCAGTTGCGGTCTTGGCTACAGAATGAGAAACACTCACGAAATATCGTCTCAATACGGAATATAGTCTCAACACCCGGATTCGTTATGTAACACGTCGCTGTTTTATATTTTTCTTGTTTTCACAAAACACTGACGTCTTGGTACGTATACTGATATATCGTTTCCATACCCACACGAGCTGTCACCTATGTTCCTATTGGTTAATTCCCAGTTAACCAGATTGGTTTACATATAAGATATTGGGCTTTAGTAACGAAACCCTATTGAAGTCTCTTGTTTTATTAAAAAGTATTATGTATATAATTCCTGAGTCTAGAGCAACCGTAAGTTCCACTATTTATGAGTGTGGTGAGAAAGGGATAGCGTCTATGAAAATACAGTAGACGTGAATCAACGTCGTTCGATATTAAGTTGCGAGTGAGACTGACTAAGGGCGTTGCATTGGTGCACATTTACATAGTTGCTGACATATGGGCTTCACCGTCTTGGGCAGCTACCGTTCACATGATCAGTTCATGACCTCCTCATAGTTAGTGGAAAGTTACAGGGGATGAATTTGAATATAAATCAAATGTAAGGAACCCATTTATATAATACTTTTGTTGATGAGACAGGGTCCTTTACATCACACCCAGTTTGTTTCCACAGTGCGAAACTAAAACCGCATCATTCTGGTCATGCCACCATAGAAAAGGAGGCTTTGGGGCTTTTGGTGGTGTTAGAAAAGTTTGCAGTGTATGTTGAGGGTTCACCATATACTGTAGAGGTGTACACATATCATAATCCCCTACAATTTGTACAAAGGATGAGAAATAAGAAGCAAAGGATACTTAGGTGGGCTTAAAACACTGCATTCCTCCATCATAAAAGTGAAACATTAAGGGAAAAGACAATCTTTTAGCGGACACCCTCTTCCGTAATGTATAAGAGTTTTCTTTTTTTTGTTCGAAACTTTTCAGTAAGGAGGGGGATGTTACGAGTGTCATCCATAGGTTTCTGTTCTGGGTATAAAATATGTTGATTCGAATGGTGTGTGAGGTTGTGTCAGCACAGCTGTCTTAAGTTGAGTATACCCTCTCTCTGGTGTTTTGGGAGTTGGCATTTGACTATTGAGATTTGTTATTGCTTGGACCTTCAGTCCTTACTCAGCCACTTCCAAACATCATATTATTAGTATTGTTATTTATTTTATTTTATGTACCTTATGACCACATTGTGGTGGTAGGAATATATTATCATATGTTTGTATATTTATTGACTTGTTTAGTTTTGATCTGTTAACTTGACCTATGTTGGGGGAACTTGGGATATTTGAAAGACTTCAGTGATTTGTGTTTAAGTAACAATCTATACTAAGGTCGTAACACACTCTCTGAAGGTCGGCATAAAAGGCTTCCTTGATGTAATCCTCTGCATCTGGTGTTGGGGTGCATGCACACACTAATACTACGATTACTACTACTACTACTATTACTATTTTATTGTCACTCGGAATCAAATATAACGACCATCAACCTATAATACAATGATAAGAACTATTAAAGATGTCGCCTTCATTGATGAGTTCTGAGATGACTCAAAAAGCTGTCACAGGACATATAGCGCCGTCCACAGATGTTGCACATGTGGAGGATTGCATTTACTGAGGCATGGGCGGCGGCATTGTCTTCTGTTGCTGACGCTTGTCTGCGTCTTGTTTTCCTATGAGTCACGAATTGTAATGGATTATGATCCCTGTAAACAAAAATTTTTTGGTTGGTGTTGCCAAGTGTTGTACCATAACATTTAATAACAAAAGTATACAATAATAAATATGCATGTTGAATAATGGGAGGATAAATTAATTCAAGAAAATAAAAATGTACATGATTATATGACTTTGGAAATATTTAGCATAGGACAAACCATCGAAGGTACTGACTCCTTACCAAGTTAAACTGCACTTGGTTTTCCATCCTTAATAAACAATAAATATGTTCCCCATATATCAACAATAAACCACAATAATTGATTGCACTATACACACAATACACAATAATAGAGCAGAACTGAATATATAATACTTGACTAAGCCATATTAGAGAAGGTGTCCACCACTGACTGACCCAGACCTCCTGTCAGCACCAATGCCCAGCAGTGACTCCCCAAAACACACCTGTGCACCGGTGAACTCCAAGCCTAAACAGCGCTAATATAAAACAATTATTACATTACTCTGTAAAAATAGTTAAACATACTGTACATACATTTTAGGTCATAATTTTGGGTATTAAGTGTCAGTTTTGCTCACAAATAATTATATCAAATATTTTACAATCAATTTACCATGACCCGTAGTCATGGTAACGAGCATTTTCTAAACTAGTGTAGGGTAATGCTTGTTAAGTACATGTCAAATATTTCCCTATGCATAATGCAATGCATTAGTGTGCATTATACTATGCATAATGCCAGGGAATATGTTGAGTTTTTTTAATGACATAAGCAGAACCACAGCTTCTAATATACTATAGGGCTAGCCATCTGTCTGTCTGTCTGTTCATTGCAGCCGAAACGGCACAATCGTTATTCATCAAACTTGTTGGAAAAATCGCAAAAAATTCGTAGAGTGGAACAAACCTGGTCCCATGTCGATGGTTTCTTTAGGAAGGTATGAATTAGCAATTTTATTTACGATGGAAAACAATGCAAGTCTACCGACTTGGCGCACCCTCATTCGCTGTACGCTGTCAGCCGGACGGATAACCTGGCACGAAGGCCCACTGTCATACAATACAATACAATACAATACAATACAAAACAAAACAGTAGAGTACAGTACAATATAGTACAATACCATACAATACCATACCATACAATATAATACACAACAAACTATAAATATTTGTAAGAATAAAACATAATTATATAGACATGTAAGACTCACAACTTGATAAGATATCCGTAAGACATTAGCTATTGGAAATGTGATTAAATGTGTTGTTATTAATCCGGTGTGAAATATATCAGTATTGGTGGTAAAATCCTAATGGTCTCTAATCCTGTTGATTAGGTGAGGTTAATCTGGGTTTATTGAGATTAAAGATTAGGTGTGGGGTTTATTCTACCTGTGTTAGTCTCAGGTACGACCCTTATTGTAACAACCGCTACCATGATTATAACAACCAGGACCATGATTATAACAACCAGGGCCATGATTATAACAACCAGGACCATGATTATAACAACCAGGACCATGATTATAACAACCACGACCATGATTATAACAACCACGACCAGTATTATAACAACCACGACCATGATTATAACAACCACGACCATGATTATAACAACCAGGACCATGATTATAACAACCACGCACATGATTATAACAACCACGACCATGACTATAACAACCAGGACCATGATTATAACAACCAGAACCATGATTATAACAACCAGGACCATGATTATAACAACCAGGACCATGATTATAACAACCACGACCATGATTATAACAACCACGACCATGATTATAACAACCAGGACCATGATTATAACAACCACGACCATGATTATACCATGATTATAACAACCACGACCATGATTATAACAACCACGACCATGATTATAACAACCACGACCATGACCATGATTATAACCACGACCATGATTATAACAAACGATGACCATGATTATAACAACCAGGACCATGATTATAATAACCACCATGATCATAACAACCACGACCATGATTATAAAAACCAGGACCATGATTATAACAACCACGACCATAATTATAACAACCACGACCATGATTATAACAACCACGACCATGATTATAACAACCACGACCATGATTATAACAACCACGACCATGATAATAATAACCACGACCATGATTATAAAAACCAGGACCATGATTATAATAACCACGACCATGATTATAACAACCACGACCATGATTATAATAACCACGACCATGATTATAACAACCACGACCATGATTATAAAAACCACGACCATGATTATAATAACCACGACCATGATTATAACAACCACGACCATGATTATAATAACCACGACCATGATTATAACAACCACGACCATGATTATAACAACCACGACCATGATTATAACAACTTTGGTAAACTGTACCACCGAAATCGCCACCGGGCACGAAGGGCCCACGATCACTTGTCTTTCTCTATAGTAGAGTAATTCCATTGTTGATGTTTAAACTTTACTGTACAGACATATAGGATATTGAATGCATAACTTTACTATCATCTGCCTGCACTAACATTGCACCAGCCCCAACATCACTTGCATCAACTTTTAAAATGAAGGATGGTGAAAATTTGGAACTTGAAGAACTGGGCCGAGATCACTGACACTACTGAGATATGAGGTTCATAACTGTCAGGAGATCTAAGTCCATACCAACTCTGCAGGAACGATTCATTAACGGTTTATAACTTAGGTGTGGTGCTCATACGAAATCTGGCATTAGTTCGTAAAATGACGACAGGTGGTGGTGGTGTTTCCTCTCGGCCAATCCCTGCGACTGATAAATAAATGAGTAGGAGACACAAGCCAATCTTTTCACAACAACATTAGATCACATGGGGTGCACTTGTGATCACCTTAGACATTTATAGAAGAAAATGGGGTAGATTTGGATGATGGCAATGTTTTTTGCCTGTTTCTTTTGTAGTTGGGAATCGATTTTCTTCTATGGTGTTTCCGGCACAAATGTATATTTTTTTAAGTATTTTAAACGATAAGACCTCCCACTTACCAACAATATTGGCTGCTCAAAGTGGAAAGGGCTTTGAAGTAAGAGGAAAATGTGGGGGTAAAATACTAGAAAGAACACCAAACAAACCTTTGAAAAGCTTACTTAACCTATAAAATGGTTAAAAAATGCTTTCGATTTTATGGATCCCTCCAGATCTGAACACCGAAAACAACACTAACACATTTAACACCGAAAACAAGAATATTTATTTTTCTTGCAATATTTTCCTATCTCTACTTATATTTTTATAAGGTTATAAGAACAATAAATATTAATAAACTTAATTTTAGTTCATTGTCTCTTTATTTTGCAGTACAATTTTTATGTGAAATGTTTCAAAGGAAGCTTATATCTTCCTCAGCAAACGGAAGACAGTAGTTGTTGCATCCTCTTAGTAAAATCAAAGATTCCTCGGTATGTGTGCCACATATAACTCATTTATATGTGCCAACAGTGATCTACTAAGTAGGAGCTTTGATAATGGTGAATTTCGACACTCATATCTGGTTTTAAACTTTAGTTATTGAAGTGTTTAAGAAACAATTCTACAATTATCATTATAATGGTAAAAATAAAACAAAAATTAACACCGAAATCAGAGTTTAAAAGTACTTAACTCAATCCAAGTTCATCAAAACTAATAAAAAGGGGGTATACAAAGCAAAAAAGTCGTATTGCAATTTTTTCTTAGAAAAATAATAAATTTCAGATGATTTTTGACCTGATACGTTCACTAGCGATTTTTTTGGCAACAAAATTAGTGAAAAGTATCTTAACCTAACCTAACCTAACCTGACCTAAGATTATTGTAGTTTAATTATCTTGATAGACGTCCTCTACGCTTTTAAATTACTTAATTTCACAGTCGTCGCACAGCAACATGTTCAAATCAGACTATTGTTGGAATGTCACCACCTCTGCACAACACAGAAAACCAGAGTTCTATAGTAACTAAAGAACATTTTTGAGAATTTACTTTTACTCCAATACAATTGAAAACAAAACAAAATCGTTACTTGTTACATGCCCCAAACAAGGAGTTTTAATACCCTGGCAAACTAATAATATATTTTCTAATTAATTATTTAATTATAAACCATAGTAAAAGAGTTGTGTTGGTGGAGGGTATGTTTTTCGGTTGGATTTGGCCGATAATCTTGCCAAGCTATGGACAGCAATGAGATCCCGTGGTAGTTGCCACAGTTCCTCCTTCTCCCATATATTCTCGAGGAGTAAATAGAGACGGCTGGTAAGCAGAGGTCCTCCTATTTTATACACCTTGTTATGTTCTGGATAATAAGTTCAATATACAGGAGAAAACATAAACACCTGTATAGATTTTGTAGGTTCGATTTACTGGATAAGAGATATGTACACAAGGGAAGTACCGCTCCTCAGCTTGGCTGCTTGTCAACTGCTATAGACGACGTATGGCAAGTGAGACATTAGCAGCTTCCATACGTCGCCAGGCACATTAATTAAGCATGTGGGATATGGTAATTACATTGCCACACGCTGCTAGCTAGGCTGAATAAATAATACATAAATGGAGCACATACATAATATACATACATAATATATAATCCAGCATACATAATATACATACACACCTCGGCTGGGATTCCATCAGGCCCTGTAGCTATGTTTATTTTCATCTGCTTGAGGACAGTAACTACAGTAACTTATCACGGGATAGAAGATACAGGTAGCTAAAATGGGTCAGCTTTGGGTGCTGAGGGACTTGCTGGGTATAGTCAGGACATCCACATCGGTGTTCTCTTTTCAGTGGTGATGGATCCCTTATTCGTCTTTAATTGGGAAGTTACACACACACACACACACACACACACACACACAGTAACAATAATACTATACTGATGTTATTCTTCTACCATACAGGTTGAGGCGGTTGACCCAGACACAGTGGACTCGTCAGGGCTGGTGTATAGTGTCGGGGGCGACGGTGTGGACGAGTCCCACGCCCACGCCTACTTCACCATCAACCCTCACACCGGCCATCTCCTGCAGCTACGGGTGAGTTTTAACTACCTTTCCTCTCGTAGCACTGGTCGACCTCCTGTTACTATACTACTGCAGTGCCAGACTTGCCCTTGTTGTAATACCCTGCATTAGCCTCTGTCTAACGGACAGCAGTACTTATATAAATGTGGGTTACATACATTGGGTTTTTATAATTACATCACCCACGGTAACTTTCCTATGAGCAGTGAATAGACATCAACTGGATATGTGACAGCGTAGTCAGTAATGACGTAGACAATATTCTTGCCAAAATCCATAAAGTTTTCCAGAAACTTTCTACAGCAGGACTTAAAGATAAGTTTTCTATATGTGAATCTTTAATATCAAGACAACACTTCCTTGGTCATGTGGTCGACAAACACGGCATTCATACAGTTGGCGGCAAAGTCAAAGCTGTTGCACAATTCCCACGTCTTGCAACCATTAATAAGGTGCGTAGTTTTCTTGATTCATCAGGATATTATCGTTCTTTTATAAAAGGATATGCGACGTTCGCATCGCAGCTCGCATCGCCGTATTTTTCTGGAATAATGAATGGGAAACTAGTTTGATTGCATTGACGATGGCACTTCCAATGCATCTGCTTTGGCATTTCGTGACTTCACTTGCTGATTTACTCTGTGTACCGACGCTATACTCATGCAGCTGGGCACACGAGTGAAATACAATAGAGAGTGATTGCTTACGCCAGTCGTTCACTTAATGACTCAGAAACACGCTATTCAGTAACGCACCTGGAAACATTAGCTGTTGTCTGGGACTTAAGAAGTTTAAGGATTTACTTTTTGGTTATCCCTTAACCGTCCATAGGGATCTTGTGGTAGTGACAGAGCTGTTCCATGGAAAAAACCTTTCAGGAAGACTAGCATACTGGTATCGGACCATTCAAGTGCCCCCATGTTCAAGTACTTACCAGGACGAGCGACCGTGGTCACCGACGATTTGTTCAGAAACATAGGGCTAGTGACTTCTGTATCTTCGTTCACTCTCTAGCAATTACGGAATGAACAACGACTTAAGCCCTCATGGTCTACAGTATAGTCATTTTTGCTCTGGAGTCGGGGAAGGAGGCTGTTCTACCTAAGTTACCTTTTCCGTTCAGTCAGTCTGAACTACGACAGCACATACCTCATCGCTCCAAAAGGACAGCACAGGGTATTTTTACGTAAATTGTTGTACCTGATATACTTCATGCAAAAGCATTGACATTGTACTACAATGTACCTCAAGCAGGCTATCCCGGGCGTGACAAATGCCTTGCGGAAAACACACACACACACAAACACACACACACATATATATATATATATATATATATATATAATATATATATATATATATATATATATATATATATATATATATATATATATATATATATATATATTACAGAGGAGGTGAGATCAAGTCCACAGAGGTCAAGTATAGGAATAGGGTGTGTCATAGGAGGGAAGATCATTAAAACTAATGGCCCACGGTAGATTTTAGTATAGGCAAACAGAGTACAATTTCAGTTTCAATATTTTGCAACCTTTGCTAGGGTAAATTTAGAAGGTGAAATTTATCGAAAATCTAACGTACAGCTGCATTAGTGCATTACACCTTAAATAGTGAACATTGCTTTCTGACTTCATTCTTAACAACCCAACTAACAATATTTTTTTCTGTTTCAGATTCTGATGCATTTATAAGTTGATAATAATATTTGCGATGGCTGCTTGTGTCAGGACGAGGAACCAAAATCCAGCCATCTCAGTCACTATCTTGGGTCTGGGAGAGAGCTCCTGAGGTCGGAGTTGCCTACATTGAGAGATGCTTTGAGATACGGTGTTTTAATCAGGCAAATCAGTGAAAAGAACCAAAGAACTTACACAAACAAAGACATTGCCAGTGATATGACCAAAGCTGTCTTGGCGCAGTACACTCTGGCTAACGCTCAGTTCAAGCCTCCAGTCATAACAAGTCAGAAGAAGATTATTGAGAGACTGCTAGCCAGTTGGGAAAAGGCAAGAGATATCTCTCTTGGGAGAGGAAAACTTGCAGTTAAGGACAGCTTTGCCAAGCAACTGGACCAGTTATTTGACATAATTACTTGCAAGTGCCCAATTGTTCTCTGTCCTGAGTTTGGATGCGATCGTGACTGTAAATCCGAGGCCCACATCTCCTGTATTTGCAAGCGTGAACTGAAGATTCCTGTGATCTAACTGGCATTTGTCAAAGCACAGAGAGAGAAGATTGGCAGAGTAGGGGCTCTCTATGATTTCTAGCCAAGATATTCCGGAGTCCAAGAGACAGGAGGCTGCCACAGAGAGACAGAAGAGGAGAAGAGCGAGGAAAAGAGAGACTTGAGAAGGCCCAGGGTGAGGTAAAAAAGGCCGATGATTGAGTCAAGCTGATTCAGAGTTTAATGATTCCCCATGGCTGATCCTTTCGAGTGCTGACCAGGAGAATGGTGACTTTGTCCCTAACCCAGAAAATAATGATCCCAAACCTTCCAGGCATAAGATTCGAAATCGGAAAGATATCCCGAGCATAGCTCTGGCCAGCATGCTACACCACACTGATCTCAGAGAAACTGCAGAGATAGCAACAGCTGCCTGGATTGACGGTGGTTTGATAACACCTGATGATGTTCACCTGGTGATAGATCATAACAAAGTAAGGAGAGCTCAGGAGAAAATTGTCAGTAACCTAGAAGAGGAGTTTGATAAGGGGATAAGAGAAAATGGAATCAATTGTTTGTTCTTTGATGGGAGAAGGGATGACACTAAAGTGTTCATGAAAGTTGGAGATTCTGACAAGTTGTTCCCTGCCATGGTGAAGGAGGAACACTACTCCTGCTGCAGTGAACCAGGAGGGAAGTATTGTGGCATTTCACTCCAGAGAAAGATGACATCAGGAAACCAGCTGAGATAGTGGCAGATAACATTGTGAACTGGCTCAGAGAGGAACGTAGACCAGACCCTGCAGGCCATTGGAGGGGACAGCACCAACACGAACACAGGGTGGCAAAGGGGGGTCATACAGTGGATAGAGCGGAAGATTGGGAGGAAGCTGGTCTGGATTGTTTGTGACCTCCACACCAACGAGTTGCCACTCAGACATCTGATCCAGGAGCTGGATGGCAAGATTCTTTCAAACAACAGATGGTCTGGTCCTCTTGGCAAGATGCTGGACTCTGCCACTGAGTTAGAAATAAATCCGAGCTTTGGAAAAATCACAGTTGGCCCTCCACTCGTTGAGCTTGCACACACTGTCATTGACGACCTGAGTACTGACCAGTACTATGGTTACATGATTTGCAGTGCCATCAAAACTGGGGTCATGCCTGATAGACTTGCTTACCTGCAGATAGGTCCAGTCTCACATTCTAGGTGGCTCACAACGGCTCTCAGGTTCTGCAGAATTTGGGTCGTTCATCATAAACTGAAAGGGAACCAGCTTCACAACCTGAGACTTATTGTCCAATTCATCGTGAGTGTCTACTCGCCAAATTGGTTCAACACCAAGGTCAAGTCATCGTTCTCCTAAGGTCCGAGGCATGTTCTCTTCCAGCTTGAGCTCCTGAGGAGTCAGCCAAGGAAGGTTGTTCAGATTGTGGAGCAGACTGTGAGGAGATCTTCCTGGTGGTATGCTCATCCCGAGGCAGTTCTGCAGACAATGCTCTGCAGTAAAGGGGATATGAGGAGTGAGAGAAGAGTGGCAGTCAAAAATGATCTTGGATATGAGACTTGAGAGAGGATCTGGGCATGACGAATCAGTTGGTGACGATTCCTTCAGGGTCAGGAAGACTCCTGAAGTCAATCTTATAGGGTGCCAAGACCCTCACTGATCTCATAGATCTGGATAACATCCAGGCTGGCAGTGAGCCCCCTTACCTGCAGCCTCACCAATGTTCAAGTCAGAGCTTTCCTGGACAAAATCCCCATGCATGTCCCTGCCTGGCCCTCGCACACCCAGTATATAGAGCGTTGTGCGTACAGCAAGTGGCGAGGCCAGCAGTCAAGTGTACAGCCAGGAGAGGAGGGAAGGCTACATCCGAGCTCAGGTGGCTTATAGGAGGTATGAGTAGAAACAGAAGCAAGAAAGACATGTTCTATGTTAGGTAGCGCAACACCGGGTCGTAGTAGTAAAACCGGTTTTTGTATTTGATGATTTTGTTTTCTAAAGGAATATTAAATTTAATAAATGTGTCAAGATCATTCGTTTCACTATGCTGGATCATTTTCATCCTAATAAATTAACCTGATACATTTACTTTACTTTAAATAAGCTATTTAGTGGTGTTGGTAAAAGGGTGGGAATACTGAATTTTCATAAGATTTCAAGTTAAAATTTACCTAGCAAAAAATAAAAACTTTTCAAATCTGATGATATCACATGATTTTGCACATAGAACTACATCATTAATACCATGGGCCGATTTTTCAAACTCAAAATAAAAAATTCGCCTCCGTATGACACACCCTAATAGGTAATGACCCTACTAATCTTCACTTGACCTCTGTGGACTTGATCTCACCCTCCTCTGTATATATATATATAACTTGTTCTGAAGTTCTACTTTGTTTGTACTCACCCCTGAAGATGTGAATTACACGAAAGCACTTTCCGCCTAACTAATAACTTTCTTGGGACACCCGTAATATATTTAGAAAGGGAAACGATCTATAAAAATTTCAAATTTAATATTGTTATTTAATTTTATGATTCGCGTCCATATTAATTCGGTAAATTACATTTAATATCGTATAGGCCTAGTTCCAGAAGCTCTCACTACGTGCGAGAGCGCTCCTCCTTTAGTTGACCTTGAAAACTCAGTATCGCCAATATGGCGCGCGTATCTAACTCACACTGAAATTTCTGAATACTACATATATATTTATATTATTGGAATTCCCCAAAAAATGACAGCGCAATACATTGCTAATGTTTATCGTGTGTGCAGTACATAGCAACTACTTTTCCACCTGCTCCAGTGCTGGAATACCCTACAACGGAACTTCCTATGACACAGTCGCCATTGACGTGCTACAACTTCCAAGGAGTCACCAAAGATTTTCGTACGTACTGGTGTGTGTCGATCATTGCTCTAGATTTTCATTTTAGTCCCACTGAAGGATACATCAACCGAATCTGTGGTTCACGCCCTAGTTATGCATCCCATATACTTTCTTACTACACCCAAGGTTCTTCTCTCTGACGACGGATTACATAAGAACATAAGAAAATATGGAGTCTGCAATAGGCCGGTTGGAATGTGCATGGCAGTTCCGGTCGAGAGTTACTACCACTCTCTATCAACCATGAATCCATCTAGCCTCCTTTTAAAACTCTCCAGCGTTCCAGCACTTATTACAAAGTTGCTAAGCTTGTTCCACTCGTCCACCACCCTATTTGTGAACCAATTCCCTCCTATCTCCCCCCTAAACCTAAACTTATCCAACTTAAATCCGTTGTTACGAGTCCTATCCTGCTCGGATATTGAAAGAACTTTATCTATATCGCCTTTCTTGATTCCTTTCACTCACTTAAATAATTCTATCATATCTCCCCGCACTCTTCGTCTTTCTAGGGAATGCAAGTTAAGATTTCAAGAATCAACTCATAGCGCAAATATGTTTGCAAAACGGCATCGTACAAATCAGGCCTCTATTGCGCGCACTCTACAAATCAAGCCTCCTCAGGGAGCAATATACAAATCAAGCCTCCTCAGAGGGCATCCAACAAAGCTTCATCATTGTTTATAATCCACAGGCAAATAGCCTCGTCAACAAAGAACCACTCGTAAAATCCTTGAGATTCTTCGTCATCTTTTAAGTTGAATGCAAAATGCATGGTAGGGAGGGCTACCTCAAATCGCAACCTCTATTAACGGGTTATTATCATTATTATTATTATTATTATTAATATTAATAATAATAATAAAAATAATAATAATAATAATAATAATAATAATAATAATAATAATAATAATAATAATAATAATAATAATAATAATAATAATAATAATAATAATAATAATAATAATAAAGAAATACAAAATTAAAAAAAAAAGATCGAAAGTGAGAATCGATATGTGTATGTTGTGTTGTCAGTAGTAAGAGAAGCAATTGAAACCCTGCAATTGTGTGTCAATGAGGCACAAAGTCAGATGAGCAACCTGGGACTTGGTCACAATTTTTGTAATGCCATATGGCAGCAGGGTCTACCATTAGACAACACAGTATGCTTCCAATATCTTCCCTGGGGGTAGTACCTCCCTGTTTGGTAGCTGCCTACTACATACTACCTAATGCCTACTCTTTTTCCTTTGCCGCCATTTTAAGACCTTAAAATCAAATATCCTAAGACATGAGTAGCTACCCTGGCTGTGTTGAGTTAGTTGAGCTGCAGATCTATGGAGCATTCAGTGACTGTTGCCTCATAGTCAATATCTGCAACTGTTGTCGGCTTTGGGGCCGATGCTTTCCTTCCCCTGAGCCAGAGCAAATCATCTTGCACTTGGTCCCATCCCACCAGAGGTTGTGAACACCAGAGGAGTGAAGCCGCCTTGATCAACGTTATGAATTCTCTCCCTGTATGCCCTTATCTTGTCATTCTCGTTCCTCCTGAGTGTGGCATTGAGAGCTAAATTACGGTGACATGCGGCCATGGGATAAAAAATCCTCAGGTCGAAGAAGCCTCGCTGTCCCGGCATCCAGAATCCTCGAGCACTGACGTCAACACAGGCTTTGTTGGATGTGTTTGAAGTCCTATGTTGAAAATTCTCACCGTCCAATGGAAGGAGGGTCAGTTCTACCCTGACATCAGGACAGATTTCCTTCAACATATTTCCTGTGGGATCCCTTACTTAGTCATGCCTCATGCATATGAAGCCCCCTTTCTTGCACTCTATGGCATGATCGACGTCATAGGAAGAGTCATACATGCATTGAGAGGGCAAATCCTCGACTGGCCTACCATACCTTAGAGCAATGGCATCTGTAAATTCTTGTTTATTGAGACTGAAACCATTTGCCCTTATCGGTAACATAGTTAATCAGTTCGAGGCGCCCACCTCCTGCTCTATAGCTACTTTTTTTTTCAAATTCTCTGGTACTTGCAGCATTAGTTGCTGCAACTTATCACTTTGGCCGTGCTCTCGTTCTGTCGTAATGGACCTTCGAATCTTGTTTACTTCGCTGGTATCCACCTTACTTGTTGCGTTTTGAGCTATTATGTGGTCAGCGAGGCTGCCGTGAGCTTAACTGAGTTTTGATTTTCGGTGGCAGCAATCTCCTCTGGATTGGTCACTCTCATTCCTCCCAATCTCGGTGGTAGTGCAAGGTGTGATCCTTCTAATGGGGTTAAGTGAAGATGTTTCACTAATTTGGGAATGAAATTGATGCTGATAGCTTCTTCCAGAGGGTGGAGGAGGGGTCCGATATCAGGGATAGTGTGCATCAGGTAGTTCCAGCAATGCTTGACGCCATGGGTGAATGCGGCAAAAGCCGCATGTGGCTCTGTGTTAGCAATATCAGACAGAGTTCGGATTTCCCTAACCCACTCTTTCACCTTTCCCGTTACGTACTCGGTCTTGAAGTCCGTCGTGCCGATTATTGAACATAGGTGTCTTTGGCCATCCTTTTTTATTTTGACCTCACTTCCACCAAACATCTCCATTGCCCGTTCATAATGTTCTGGCTTCACAATGAGGAAGGACTTGCTGGAATTTGGGTGGTACCTTATTTGTGGACCATTTGACGTTATCAGGTCCCTCCACTTTTTGATGTCCTCCTTTTTTTCCTGCTCCTGTAAGGTCGTCAGCATACGCCACTTGCTTGACCTCTGTTGCTTCAAATTTCATTGTGTGTTGGAGCACGAATAGGCCTATTGCGTAAATTGCCATTGCAACAGGGTCCTCTTGCTCTGTTCCCTCAGTTGACTGTATGATGGTATCACCTCTTAGGGCCTTGGTGTTTACTATATAGAGGTCTGATGGAGTCCTATAGGTGTTTTCAACATGAATTGCAAAGCTTGGGCACTTGATCTTGATGTTGTGCAGTGTGGCCTTGCAGTTGAGTATGTTAAATGTGTTGGAAGCGTCAACCAGGAGAACGGCCTCACAATCACGCTGCTCAAATATCGTTCTCATGGCGTGAATGGCAGCTTCCTGTCCAGCCTGGTGGCCAGCACAATCTTGCAGGTTTCCTGCCACTGCCCTAATTTCATCCTTTACCACCTCAATTATGCATTTCCGATGATCCGCCTCAGCACTTCCCCCACCCTATAGGCTTACATCCTGGATTCTTATCTAGGGGAATGAGGCGGCAGGCCGTCAGAGCATGGAGGTGTTGGCAGCACGAGGTTACTAGCTTTCTTGCAAGGGTGGCAATGGCAGTGCAGAGATCACTCGTTACGGGCCCAAACTTGTTAGTGCTGAGGATGACTCTCCAACCGTTTGCATCCACGCCTGAAGGGCCAGCCCTTCCCTGAGTTGTCAGGAAACTTCGTGGTTTCTTCTTTCCTTGTGGTTATCAGTATATACTTGGATCACGCGTACCTACAGTGAGTACAGACTGTACTCACCCCTGAAGATGTGAATTACACGAAAGCGCTTGGAAACTTCGTGTTTTCTTCTTTCCGTGTGGTTATCAGCATATATATATATATATATATATATATATATATATATATATATATATATATATATATATATATATATATATATATATATATATATATGTGTGTGTGTGTGTGTTTGTAACAGGGTAGGGGTATTCTGTCTATCTCACTTGACTTGGGGTTTTTATTATTAGCGGATGGTAATGCAGTGGAAGCGCCCCTTGGAGAGAAAACCCGAACCAGCACAAACACAATTACTTTTAAAAACCATATATTATCCTTGACCTGTGGAAAGATAGCACCTGTGATTGGGGTGAATGAGACACACTGTAAAATTTGACACTTCTATTCCCTCCAACACTACAGCCACAAACAATAATGGTACACCAACATATGCGCACCTCTTAGCCTGGCTTTAAAACACTACACTGGGGAACAAAGGTTCTACAAGATATCAAAATTAGGTAGAAAATAATAAATGCCTTATGCAACACTACTAAGGTAACCGTGCTACTTACACCGGAATGAGGAGTTCATTTGAAAACAGTTCCTCTTTATCTCACATACCTTAGTGACACATAATCATTAGAACACAATACATGTACTATCAAGCACTAAGGGAAACGACATGAAACAGTAAGAAATTATTAGCTATACACATGGATCAATCATCGCCTGTCTGGAATGACCCACAACTACTACAAATACCAACTGGCCAAATAACCCGTAGGGTGTAACTAGTAGCCGCCAAGAAGGCCGGCGTTTTACAAGAAACCCGAGAAACTCACTCATGACCCATCAGGCATGCGGGTGTTCCCTGGTTTTAATTTTGTCAGTATCTTTCTAGAACTCAGGAGTCATGAATGTTTTTCTCCACCAATACCCGTCAAACATGCTCCTTAACCTCACACATAGGTTCAACATGCACCCGTATTATTCATAAGTGCACTAACAAATCCTTCACAACTATGGATATGATTTCTTACGTCTCACGTGTGAAAACCAACCATGAGGAGCGTTGTTCTCACACCTGGACTTGGGAAAATTCTAAACAGCTTACCACCGTTTTCCGTAACATGCATCACACAAGTTCAGAACACGCCCCTACTGGGGAGCAAGTACCCACTAGACTCCTGGTCTCAGTGTGTGACCGTTCATTCACATAGATAGCCTCAGTTTACACTCAGTACATCCATGAAAGCGGAAGGGAGTGGGGGCCAGTCAGCCACTGAAACTTAGCCAGCTGAGGGGGGTTCTATTTTCCCATTAGCAAGAGGTTTCACAAAACTGTCTGAAGATATGTAGTATTGTGAACCGAGGTGGAAGAGGTCTGGTGACCCCAACCGATCGTCAAACGGGGCCGAACGCTGGTCCCACGTAGTTAGTTGTCAACACAGACAGCTGGCTCTGCTCCAACCCTCAAACTGCTCACTCAACGCATGGGCTAAAGACCGCT